GGTGCTCATGATGTCTGTGAAGTCCAGAACCTGGCCGTCTGTGAATCTCCATACTTCGCATCTGGGATCTTACCACAGGTTCACGTGGTTTCCATTGGATCTGCTGCAACGAGAGAATGAGGGCACCCACAGGCCCTGATATTGAAATCCACTTGCCCCTGGGCTTCATCTGCGTGAGCCTGCTGAGGTGTGCATGCCACCCTTGGCGTAGACGATCGCGTGCAGCTTGTTCGCCTTGCCAGGTGAGTATCCAATCCTTGACTTGTCGTTAGAGGCATGCCGTTCCAGGTTCTCTGTCTCCATAAAACAGTGCGTTGATCGTCGACGTGCACCTGCCTCCCGCACTGAAGCCTGCCATGTCCGCTGCCTGTGCACGTGCTGCTCGAACTCCGTGCGGGCTGAGTCCTGTTGCTGGCCAATAATAGTTCTGTTTGGCTCGCCGGTTGGCGTTGTACAACATGGCCGTTCTCTTTCTCATTCGTCCTTTGTTCCTCGTGAAACGCCTTGCCCTTCAAGCTCGTTCGCGTGCTTGCTTGGCACGCTTTCGTCTGGTCGAGGTTGCCCTTCTACGGACAAGTGCTGCATCGATGCCCAGGTCCTCGACGAAAATTGGCGTCTGGATTCCGATGCATTTGCTCTTCATGTACTTTATGGTGTGTTTCTTGGTCGCGCTACAGTTCGCGAGGACCGCTGACATGCTTGAGACCGCCAACTTGGAGTCCAAGCATGCCTGGACCAGCGTGTCAATAGCCTTGGGGAACTGCGCCTTGAAGTCGGCTTCAGCTCCTTCGACTCGCGCATGTAGGTCGTCCACGAACTCCCGTGTGATTGCCAGCGGTGCTGCCCTGAGGGTGATGTCCAGCATGGTGTAGATCATGGCTCGGGCAGCGCGGTTGGCCGCAGGGCATCCTGCCACGATGCCGTTCCATTGACTTAGCGGTGCTGCGTGATCTTGGCATGCCCGTGCCACTCTTGGGGACAAGTACATCAACGTGCTCATGTACAGGTTGACCCTCGGGTAGTCCAATTGCATAGCCCGTCTGATGGGTATGCTGAGGTCCACGCTGCCGTATAATTTCTCCAAGTCCAGGTAGAACGTGCCGTAGGAGGTGCACCTGAGCTTCGCACTGGTTTCGCCCAATGCCATGGAGAGGAGTGCTGCTCTTAACGCTGATGAGCCTTGGATGGCCGCGTCCCAGTAGCCCGCCATTTCTTGCATTCCTGTTGTTTTGCCATCTTACCCCATAGCCGCGCTTGCATTCCTGTTGTTTTGCCATCTTACCCCATAGCCGCGCTTGGAAGGGTAGTAAGCCAATCGGTTGTTCTTCTCCTGCTGTGTTCGACCCTGCCTTGGCCAGTATGCGGTGCCAGACGGGGTAAAACTGGCACGGCCAGCTGAGCTTCTTCTCACACAAGTTGGTTAGATTCACGAGGCTCTGCTTGGCTTCTGCAGGCAGAGCTCGTATTTCGGGTGGTTGCCATTGGTCAGCTCCTCTTGCCGTCGTTGGACTGGACTTGGGTATTGCTGCCTCCAGATCCTCGGGGTCAGACTGCCTGTTCTGCGGTCGTTCGACTTGAGCTGCTTCACGGTTTTTCTTGCATGGCTTGGTGTATTCCGCTTTCTTGGTGATGTCGCTGGCATCGCGTTCGCCACATGCCAGCTCGGCAGTCAGTGGCTTTCGTAATGCTCCAGTCTCCTGCTGAGCGATGGGATAATCTGCCGTGTCTGGTAGGTCTGGTCGCTCGTGTTCGCTCAAATATCTGCGCGCGTCCTTCATGCTGTTCGGTAGCGCCGAGCGCACCCACTGTGATACTTGTTCACGGGTGCCTGTCCAAGCTTGTCGCCCATGCCATTCAGCTCGGACTCGTGTAGCCCCCGTTGCTTCTGTCTATTCGCCGATGTTTTCAATTGTGACGTCTGGGTCTTCATCATGTCGTAGCCGTGTGGCTCGTAGTGCAAGCTGGCAGGCCTGCTGGTCAAGGTAGTCCACCCCCGCTGCGTTCGTCTGCTCGCTCTGCTGAATCTGGTCGACCATTGCCTCAATGATGCTGCATATCGCCTGGGGATGCTGTTCACTATCTTTAGGATGGCTGCGTAACAGGAGCTCGCCATTGCGGCACTTCTGATGTAGCGTATTCCAGTTCATGCTATGACGCCGTCGTTGATCTGCTTTGGCGTCACCATCCTTTTTGCCATCGACGTGGTGCGTGTACGGTATCTCAACGCACTGCGTGGGCTGCCCTCGCCGCGCTCGTGGCCGTATCGGAGCTTCTGTGTTGGTAGCCAGCATTCTTTCGGCCGCGTTCGCCCACCCGCCGTAGAGCTGGCCCAACACGTCGCTCATGTTTGGGTCCTGCTGGTAAGCCATGGAATCCTGGATCCACTGCGGGGCCTCCTTGATATTGACGTCGCGTTCGCCGTTGCGTATGTCGCCCCATAAGTTGCCGTCGCATTGCATAGGCACTGTTGCCTTGAAGTACGTGTCGAGCAGGCCGTCATCTATGGTGTCGATTGTGTCTCCGTGTGCTTGGAGTTGTTGATGCTGTTGCCGATCTCGCTGCTGACGTTTGAGTCCTCTCTCGCGTCTTAATTCCACTGTTGGGATCGGCCTCTTGGCAGTCAGCATGGGCTTGCGAATGGTAATTTGCGGTGGTTTGGCCCAAAGCTCAATCACGATGCCGATGTGAGGAGACCATGGTACTGCATGCTCAGCACGTAATGTTCGTAGTAGGGGTCGACAGTGTGGTGGTACAATGGCGTAATCAATCAACCGTCCTGATCCGCTGCTGCAGGTGTGTGAGACGCTCTGGGGCACGACGACTGCGCCTCCCAGCAATTTCAACCATGGTGTGTCTGCCAGCTCCTGCGGCGCGTCGTTGAAATCCCCGCACACTAGCCATGGCCGATTCCGAGACTCCTGACGATCTGCAGGAGGTGCCGCATCTTCTTGATGTTCTCACCTGAGAAGCCGATGGAAGCGGTGAGGTATCTTGTGATGATCGCCACGTCCTGGCCCTTGAGCCTCCATATGACGATCGGGATATCACGGACCTCCTTGGCAAAGATGCTGTGTCCTGTGGCGTCTGGCATATGGACTCGCGTATCATGATGTCGTCGGCGCAATACGCACGTGCCTCCCAAGGTTGTTTTGCGTGATCGCGGCGACTGTTTTGCTGGTGTCCATGTGCCGTGGGGGCGCCATCCTTGGCGCATCAGCCTGGTCGCCGCGACCTCATCGGCAGGTCCGCGTAGGTGATGTTCGCACAATGCGGTCATATCGTAGTGCTTGCGATCCTCTATGAATTGGTTGGCGGCCTCATTGTGCTGGGCACAGTTGGCCACGAAAAGGGTGACAGTCTGCTTGCTGCCCTTGGAATTCTGCATGCTCTTGGAGTCCGTGACGGCAAGATTCCCACTACTAGGTACTTGGCCCACGTTATCCTCTCCCTCAAGCAATACTCGATCTCGACTCTGCGGGGTGTTGCCCATCATCATCTGTGCGAGAAAAAACTACTCAACTCAATGATGTTCACCTCGTCGTCGAACCAAACAGACCTGCCGCAGCCTCTGGGCTCCTGACTCAGGGCAGCAGAGAGTAGGGTTGAGCCTGTACCTTGGACAGGATTAGGCTCATCCCCGTTCTGAGCCAGCCCTCAGATATTGCGGAGGTCGCCGTTCAGTGTCTCGCTACGGTTACCCTCGCTCTTGATATTCTGCTGCTTCTGGTTTGGGTTGCGCTGGCTTTGACGCGGTCGATGGTACTGACGCTGCCGCCGCGGCTCCTGATTGGCGTGCCGCCGGTGCTTTACGCGTCCTCGCTTTGACCTTCGCCAGCTGTGCCAGGTACTGCTCGATGTGGCCGGAGTCAGCGAGGTCATGCTGAGAAGCCAAGGCCACATCAGGTTCTGCTGCTCGAGGTACTTCAGGTCGTATTTTGTCTTGTTGAGCTTTACCTGCTTCTCTTCCTGGTACTTCTGTTTGTTGTGTTCCTGCAGCGGCCTTCCTTTTCTTAGCTGCCTGCGCCGTGTTGCGCAGGTTGGTGGCCCTCTCCAGGGACTTCTTGGCATGGATGCCGGCTTCCTTCTTCTGCTGGATATACTCTCGCGCCTTCTGGAATTCGCCTCGGATGGTTTCGTATTATTTCTTTTGGTTGGCGTCCAGCAGGGCGATCTCGTCTTGCGATAGCGTGGGGAACTCCTCATCCTCGTCTGCTTTCTCGACAGTCTTGCTCCGCTCATCGCTGTTGTCGCCGACTGCCGCCTGCGCCTCCGCGAAGGACTTCTTGGCATCTGAAAGCTCCACCATGTTCTCGCCGAGCTTCCTAAGCACGTCGTCTCTGTACTCGGTGGCTCGCTGCAGTTGCTTGGCGAGCTTGGCGTGGTACTTCTGCACTCGGTTGAGATCTGCGACTGCCTGCTGGAGTAATTGTCCTGTGGACGGTACTGTGGGTACTGCAGGAGCTGCGGGTACTGCCTCTGGGCACGCCGCTGCAATCTCGTCCAGCTTAGCCTGGTCGCTATCAGCTTGGGCCTGGAGGTATTGCTTCCGCATGAACTCGACCATGGCATTGTTGCTGGTCTCGCTCTGCTGGTCACCCTCTGCACTGTTGACTGCTGGATCCTTGCACGTATGTCCGCATGTCTTGCAATTGGTCCATCCTGGCTTGCCCATCCTGTTGCAGTAAACCCAATTACCACTGCCCATTGGACACACAGGACAAACAATATACTGCGTAGCCTTCTTGCCTTTGGCGTTCGGAGCTTGGGCCTTGCTTGCCGATCGCGGGGGAGTGCGTCGCCAGGGCGGCGGCGTCGTCCCCCACGCGTTGTCACCCTGCCAGCCTCGACCTCGCCCCACTCAACATTCGAGCAGCACGAGCTTCAGCAGCGGCACGTACTGGCCGCCCCCCTCAAGCCGCGGGCCGGCGTGCAGCTGGCGCCCCGGCGCCTGCCACCGCCGACGGTTCGCGCCGTGTCGCCTCGGCCCCGCGCGCGGCCCCATGGGGCAGCTGCAGGCCGAAATGGCTTGAGAGGAGGAGGAGCAGGAGGAGGAGGAAGAGGAGGAGGAGTAGGAGCAGGAGGAGGAGGAGGAGGAGGAGGAGGAGGAGCAGGAGGAGGAGGAGCAGGAGGAGGAGGAGGCGGAGGAGTTGGAAGAGAGGAGGAGGAGGAGGAGGAGGAGGAGGAGGAGGAGGAGGAGGAAAAGGACGAGGAGGAGGAGGAGGAGGAGAAGGAGGAGGAGGAGGAGGAGGAATGGGAGGAGGAGGAGGAATGGGAGGAGGAGGAGGAGGAGGAGGAGGAGGCGGAGGAGCAACAACGTCGTCGACGGTGTTTTCCCCGTCGTCGCCTCCCTCTGGGCGTGGCGTGGTGTTGCGGTGCTTCAGGGAGCTGGAGCGGACGGTGTCTTCATCGTCGTCGTCGTCGTCGTCGTCGCCGTCGTCGTCGTTTCCCCCCATCCCATCCAGGGGGGGGGGGGAGGGGCCCGAGGGACCCTGAGGCCCATTACATCGGGGGGGTAGGGGGGGGGCGTAGGCCCAGAGCCCGGGATCATATATTTACCTCCTGAGGGATGGGGACTTAGGATGGGGCCCTGAGAGAGGGTGTCCTGAGGGACAGGGTCCTCAGGGGGGGGTCCTCAGAATATACTCGCGTTCTGAGGGATGGGGTCCTGAGCGATGGGGGGTCCTGGGGGATAGGCTCCTGAGGGGCAGGGTCCCAAGGGATGGGGTCCCGACGGAGGGGTCCTGGGGCTGGGGTCCTGAGGGGTTCAAGCGTAAATCCGATTAATCCGACGTCGTGATGTTTCATGGCGTGGCCCTCAGAAGGTTGGACCGGTTCCCGGGGACTGGTTTGCATGCATCGTTTTTGACGCTCCCGAGGCCCAGCAAGGGCCCCCAGAGACTGAAAATAGAGAAAAACCTCCCGTCGTGATTTGTTTGCAGCGCGAGGAGGTCTGTGTTAGAACCCCGCCCCTTGAGCCTCCCAGGCGCTGCCGGTGGGCTCCCCGAACGCGCCGCGGGAGCAGCTGGCGGCGCTGGCGGCGCGGCTCCGCGCCACGCCAGCCGAGGACCCTGATGGGGGAAGAGGTACAGATCACCGAGCGCGTTCCACTACTCGCAGAGTGCCTAATGACTCGCAAGCGTCCGACAAGAAAACACACGTTTGCCTCGATGTAGTGGATCGCGGATCCCCCGCGGCGAGTCCACGCATTTTGCGAGCAGCTACTTTGGCGAGTCATGGAACGCGCTCGTCTAACTTTCTGGCCCCCTGGGCCCAGGCGTGCTCGCGTCGCACAGGACAGCACGGCGGCAGGTTTGTGGCCTGCTGTGCCTGGGGTGCAGCTATAGCACCATAGCATCACCACCCACCAAAGCACCCCAACCCAACCCCGAGGCCTCAATTGGACCTCCATTTCCAGTGAGGTAGGGGGGGGGGGGATCGGGGAAGATTGGGAAAAATGCCTGTGGAACCCGTGCCTCCCCCAAGCCGAAATTCGGGCCTTCGGGTTGTGTTGGGGTGGCTGTTGGCAGGCACTCAAGCAATTAGATGAGAACTCGGCCCTGGGGAGGGGGTCGCGACTTCCAGGGGCCCCACACTGAACAGAACGGGTCGTCTGGGAGTTCCCGTCGTGGGAAACAAGTTCAACATGTTGGTGGGGCCCCTTCTGGTCGTCGACGCCGTCGTAAACGTATCGCCATACAACGGATCCGCCGTCGAAGGGCTTATACTGCGGACCAGATACAACATTAATCAACATGATAATCTACCACACAAGACATGCATTTGTAAACGCGCTACAGAAAGTAAAGTTGCAAACCCGCAACATATGGAATGAACATGCCCACTACACAAGGAATCAAATTGCAAATCCGCCACAAAAAGGATCAACTTGCAAATCCGCCACAAAAGAAATCAATGTGTAATTCAACCCTGTACAGAAGGAATCCTGTTCAAATCTTCTACACAAAGGGATCCTATCGAGTTTTTGTGCAGAAGGAATCCTATTGAAATCCTTTACAAAAAGGAATCCTATTGAAATCGGTGTTACAAAAAAAAGATTTTTATTGAAATCCCAGACAAAAAAGAATCCGAGTGAAATCGTGTACAAAAGCAGTTATATCGAAATCCTCTACAACTGGAATCCGAACGAAGTTCTTTACGCAAGGAATCCCATTGAAGCCTTCTACTGACAAGATTTTTATTGAAATCCTCTACAAAATCCGCAACGAGAGAAGTTCTATCGAAATCCTCTACAAACGGAGTCTGCCAGTCTGCTTCATCAGAGTTCCAGCATAATTTCCTGTCCCACATAATTATATTGTGTGCTACAAAATTCTCCAACACAGAAAACAATCGAACATTCTGGTTCCGCCTGTGAACCCCTTAGATGTTTATCACATTAGTTCCGCTGGCGTGCGCTGCCAGAAAGTATCAAGCGAAACATGTGTATGTATGTATATATATATATATATATAGAACCCAGCGCAAACAACCAGAAACCACAGTTTCGCTTAATACTCTCTGAAGATGCACGCCAGCCGAAATCTCTGTATTTCCCGAGGGGGGCACAGGAGAAATTTGGTTTTGTTGATTTTAAATGTATGCTTTTTCACACAAAACAAACAAACAAGCAAAGAATTGCTGCCAACTTGGGCAAACGAGATTCTGGTAGATCCATGTCCAAAAAACGAATTGAAATCTTATCAAAAAAGGAATCCGAGTGAAATCTCCGACAACATGAATTCGATTGAAGTCTTTTTTACAAGGAATCCTATTGAATTCCTTTTTACCAAATGAATTCGATGGCAACCCCCGGCAAAAAGGAATCGTATTGAAACCCGTTACAACAGGAATCCGATCGAAATTCTGTCCGAAAGGAAACGTACTGGAATCTTTTACATAAGGAATCCGAATGAAACCCTTTACGCCTTACATTGTGGCGAAATCGTCTACACAAGGAATTTGATTGAAATCCCATTTGACAATGGAATCCGATTGAAATCCTCGACAAAAGGATTCCCATTGAAATCTTCTACCGAAGTAATTCGATTGAAATCTTGTACAAAATGAGACGTATGGAGAATCCTTACAAAAGGAAGTATACTGAAATCCCCGACGAAAGGAATCATATTGGAATCCTGTACAAAAAGGACTATGGTGGGGGCCCTGGTTAAGGAATACGACCAGAAGGTTGCAGACCCTGGAGGATTCCTTCTCTGATGAGGGCGGCGCTGATATCCATGGCCAAGCTCCGCGCTTGGACCTCCACCGGCCCATGGACCTTTGACTCTTTATCCAAAGGTTCTTTCTGCCCCCATAGTATCATTGAAATTTCCCACACAAGGAATTCGATTGAAGTCTTTCACAAAAAGGAGTTGTGTTGAGACCCTCCGCAAAAGGAGTTCTATTAACACCGTATTACAAAAGGGGCTCCATTGTATTTCATCACGGCAGGTTTTTCCTTTCTTCCAAAATATGTTGCTCTTCCTTGGACGGAATATGGATCGACCCCCCACAACAAAACTACTCCGCTGCCGCCGCCGCGACCCTTCTTTGGCCAAGGCGCTGGTGGTGGTGGATATGGTAGTGGATTCGGCCATCCTACCACCACCACCATTCACTTCTACGGGTGCTTTTATTCATGCTGCAGCTGATGCCACCACGCCTCCACCACCACCAACAACCAAGACTACACCGCCACCACTTCCACCCGTTTTGGGCCAGGGTGATGGTGGCGGTGGTGATGCTGGCGGCGTTGGTGAAGGCGCTCCCAGCGCCACCACCATCGACACCTCCACATTCTACGAACGAGTACCTGTACGACTGCCGAACACCACCACTCACTCCTACAAGGGTTATCAGCAACGATGTTACACCACACCGCCACCGCCGCTACCCGTGTTGAGTCAGGAATGGAGACGGTGGCGGTTGTGCAAATCCTTCCAACACCACGAAGACCAACAGCTGTCGACACTGATGAAGCGGATGCAACAGCCGCCATCACAATTGCCTACACCGCCGCACATCCGACCCCACCACCACCACCACCAATACCCCTCCCGAGTAAAGGAGGTGGTGGTGGTGGTTGTGGTGGTGGATGCGATCCCCTCCCACCACCACCAGCACCTCCATCGAGGAAAGTGGATGGCCAGCAGAAAGAGAGAAAGGGGGATGATGGTAAAACTGTGCAGTTGCGAAAGCTGTTGCAGTTGCAGCAACCACCACAAGTACATCAACCACCGCCACCATCCTGCCCAATCGTCACCGCCATTACCCTTTCTCGGCAAAGCATGGCGGCCGCAACGGTGTATGCGATGGTGGATGCGACGCCATCCTACCAACGCCAACACTCAAGTCCACGAGTACCTGCACTGACGGTGCAACTACCCGCCGCCACCATCGCCTCTATCACCGCAACCACCTCGCCATCACCACTACCCCGCTGCCACCACCACCACCCTTTTTTGGTAAGAGGGTGGCGGCGGTGGTGAGGGTAATGGTTGTGGTGGTTTCGGTGCCCACAGTGCCACCATTACCAAGTTATATAGTACGTGTGCGGCTGGTTCAACCACCGCCGCCACCGCCATCACCTACGTCGCATCACCGAACGTTGTGCACATGTAGGATGGCAGTAGCGGCCGTGGTGGTGGTCGACGCACCAGCGTCACGCCACCAGTTTCTGCGAATGCGTCCGCTGCTGTTGTCTGTGCCGCCACCACAACTTCCGCCACCACCAGAGCTCCCCCCTGCTCCCCTTCCTATCCCGCGGCCAACACTGCGTGTGGCAGGCGGTGACCGCGGTGGCGCTGGAGGCGATCCCCAATACCACTACCGCGACATTCGCCAACACCCGTTGATACGTCCACGGTTGTTTCCACCACTGATTTACATACTACACCAATTCCCCCGCACCCTTTCAAGGTCACTGGGGGCGGCACAACTGGTTGCGACGATTGTGAGTGCGACCCCATCAGCATATTGTGGATAATCCTTCTGTTGTTGCTATCACCACCAACACATCCACCATCACCACCACCGCCAATACCTTTCCATCGCCATTGGGTAATGGGCGTGGCGGTGTTGGTGGGGCCTCCGCTTCTACCACCGCAACCGCCACAGCCAACACCTCATATGGTTTTCAGCAAGCCGTAGTTCTTAAAGTTAAATGTCCACCAGGGGGGGGATCGAGGACCTCGTGGATCGTCTTGGAACGCCGGGTCGCCGAATAGGTATGACAAGACAACAAGGACAATCAATGAGTGGGGGGGGAAGAGAGACAGAGAGAGAGAGAGACAGAGAGAGAGAGAGAGGGAGCGATCACAAGGATGAGGAGGAGGACGACGACGCCGAGGAGGAGCGGGGGGGGGGGGAGGACGAGGGAGCGGAGGGGGAAAAGGGGGAGGAGGAGGCTGAGGAAGAGGAGGAAGGGAGTAAATCTGGCGATGCGGGGAACACAGAAGAGGAGGGAGAGAAAAGGCGAGGATGGCTGCAGGGGGAGGATGGGGAGAGGGCCGAAGAAGTGCACGAGGAGAAGGAAGAGGAAATGATGAGGATGAGGAGGAGCATATTTAGCGGCAAGAGGAGTAAGAGGAGCATGGTGAATCGGACGAGGAGCAGCAGCGGGAAGAGAAGAATGGAGAGATGAATAAGGACGCGGGTGGCGAGGAGGAGGGGGCGAGGATCGAGGAGGCCCCCGTTTCCTCGTCAGTAGCATGCGTGTGCGCATGCTTGCGATTATGCCATGCTTATGTGAACGCGTATGGAGAGCCACATGCTGTACATATCCATCGATGCTAAAAGGCCAAACGTTTCTTAGTCATCTGAAGTGTCATTTTGATACGGCTTGTGCGACCGAGGGAACTCCAAGAACACCCTGGCCTCCCATTGCCAGGGGGGGCGGGCCGGGGAATATTGAACAAATATGTGTGGAACCCGTACCTCCCCCAAACCGAAATTCGGGTCTTCGGACTGTGTTGGGGTGGCTTGGTAGGTTGTCAAACAATTAAATGAAAAACCGGCTTGGGGGAGGGGTCACCACTTTCAGGGGCCCCACACTGAACAGAATTCTGAACATCGCATGTCTGGGTCCGTCGTGTCCTCCGTTTTGGGCCTCATGGGGGGCCCTCGTCGCCACGGGTGGATTCGCTTCGAAATTTTAATCAGAACGCCGCACCCAGGGAAAGGTCTGAGGAGTAGCATTCATCATCGGTACCTCCTTGGTGTCCCCAAGGACGCAGGCGCCGTGTGCGAGATCCTGGAGGCGCTCTCCGCCGTGCCCGCGACGGTGGCGCTGCTGAGGGCGACGCAGCTGGGCCTGCTCACCCAGCCCCTGAAGGACCACGCCGACAGGCAGGTCCGGTCCGCGGCCAGGAGGCTCCGCCGCGGCTGGAAAGACATCGTCAGCGAGGCGAGGGAGAAGTCCGCGGGGGGGTCCAAGGCCAGCACGGCCAGCACCTCCAGGCGCCAGGCGTTGGGGTCGCCCAGGCGGGGCGCGACCGGCGGCGCCTGCGGCGACAGCGCGTCTGCAGTGGACGCGCTGTCCCCCGTCTCCCGTGCGGGAGCGGCATGGTCCCGCATCCGCACGCCGTCGCCGGAGGCCTGCGCGCCAGCGCCGCACGCGCCGCCGGCGTGGCGGCTGGGTGCGCTGGCCGAGATGCCGCCGCAGTGGGCTCCGCAGTTTGCGGCGGAGCCCGCCACGCTGCCACGGCCGGCGGCGCCGCTCCTGGCCACTGCAGTGCCGCTTGGCGGGGCGCCCGCCAGGGAAGCGAGGCCCGCCATGACGAGGCCAGAGTGCGCGCCGCCAGATGGCAGCAGCGTGCCGAAGAGCTGCAGAGCCGCCCTGTCTGGCGCAGCAGTGCCGAGCCAGCACGTCACAGTGCGGGTGCGCGCACCGCCCGGGCTCAGCCGCGGCTGGCGCACGCCGGACCCGTCGCCGACGCGGATTGGTGCAGCGATGCCGAGCCAGCTCGTCAGCGTGCGGGTTCGCGCCCCGCCCGGGCTGAGCCGCGGCTGGCGCACCCCAGATCCGTCGCCGACGCCGACGTCGCCGACACCGACGCGGACGTCCAACGGCCTGCTAAACTGCGCTACGTCCGCCTGGAAGGTGATGGACCTGCCCGACGGCCTCGACGACCGCGCGCGCGGCAGCCCGTCTGCCCTCGGTCAGCGTGAACGCGCAGCGGACACCGCCTGCGCCAGCACTGCCCCGCGGGACCGGGGCCGCGCTGCCGTGTGCCTCCAGCTCGAGCCGCGCATCGACGACCGCGTGCTGGTGGAGGCCAGCACCCCCAGGGGCCACGACCACCAGGACGCCCGCAGGGCGCCCGTGCGGGGCGCGGCCAGCGGCGCCTGCGGCGACAGCGCGTCCGCCGCGCACGCGCTGTCCTCTGTGGCCATGGCCGGGGCGTCCCCTGTCGCGGCATGGACCCGCATCCGCACGCCGTCGCCGGAGGGCCGCCTGTCGTCAGCGCCCCACGCGCCGCCAGCATGGCAGTGGGGCGCGCTGGCCGAGAAGCCGCCACAGTGGATGCCGTTCCGGCAGCCCGCGGCGGAGCCCGCGCCGCCGCCGCCGCCGCCGCCGCCGCCCGCGCCCGTGGGCACCGCAGCGCCGCCCGGCCAGGGCCCCGTTAGGAAGGCCAACTTCGCCGCGGCGAGGCAGGAGACCGCGCCGCCGGACGGCGTGGGCGTCCCGAGGAGCAGCAGGGCGGTGCTGAGCGTCGGCTCCGTGGGCCACCCCTACGCGTGCCAGGCGCCCTGCAAGTACGTGCGCAAGGCGCGCGGGTGCAAGGACGGAGCGGCCTGCGACCGCTGCCACGCCTGTTTTCCAGCCGCTGCGAGGCAGGCTGGGCGGCGACCACCATGAAGCCATGTCTGCCCCCCCCCCCTGGCGACCGCGTTGCGTCGTGGAGCCAGCAGGTATCGGCCATCGGTCCGCCTGTGGGGAGGGCAGGGGGCCCAGACATGCTCGAATCGTGAAGAGATCACCGCGAAAAATGTTCGACCGTTTGCGGCCTCCATGGGGCCCTCGCCTGGCCCTGGGACCGTCCAGAAACGGAACGGATGAGAAGCGGGTGCTGGGAAAGGGATCGAGACTTCTGGTGGAACCGCAGTGAAAACCTCGGAACCTCGCATGGATGGGAGGTCAGCATAGCATGGAGAGGGTGTAGGGGAAGGGCGGCTGCCGAATCAGCCCGCCAGTCTGGAAGGCTAGGGTGTGTGCTTCCTGGGACAGGTGCGACGCGCACCCGCACCAGGAGCCGACCTTCCACCCCACGGCCCAACGCCGCACTTCCCTGGGCACGCTGGCATTGGCTCTCGACCTTCCTGCCCCCCCTTGCGCTCGTCGCACCAGGCCAACCGTGTTTTCCGCGTTGGCACGGGCGCCGCAGTCGGCGCGGGTCGTCGGGGCCCACCGAGAGAGGCCTGCAGCATTCTCTGGCTGCCCGGCGCCAAGCCACCCCTTCCCTTCTCTCCCCTCCTCTCCTCCCCTCCCTCGCGGGCCAGGCACGTGCAGATTTGCACGGCGGGCGCGCGCAGCCCTCTATAGTAGAGTGCCCGCGACGGCTCCGGCGCCATCCGCCTGGGGCCCCGGACTACAGCCGGGCAGTTTCACCGTTGTCGACGGAGTTCTCTCGGATTCGACCTGCAGGTCATCTTGTGCCCGTCGGTGTGCCTCCCTCTGCTCTCCATCCTCTTCCTCCCCCTCCCCATCGATCATCACCCTTTGCAGCCATGTGCGCGAGGGGTACGCTCCATGTGGGCGCTGTTGATGGGAAGCTTCTGCGGCGGAACCGCGCCTTCTCGACCCCCTGCAGAGGAAGGACAGAGGAGGGCCGGTTCGGCCCGACTTGGCACGTGGCGTCGCCCTCTGAAGACCCACGCCGACACGCATGACAGAAGACACCCGACGCTGAACATTTAGGCTCGTGCCGTTGGCGATGTGCTTGTCGTGGCCGGCTGGCGAGCATTGCACCTCGACGGCCTCACGCCAGCCCGCCGACCCCCAGAAGTGGAGATGTGCAGCTTCTGCCCTGCTGCTTTCGCGTGTGCTCTTTGATGTCTCGGGCCGTGCTGCCTGCGCAGACACCTTGCCGACTTGTCCTCCCCTCCCCCGGGGCTCGTGGACCTCGGCGGCGGCCTCTCTGTGGAAGCCGCTCCCGTGCTCCCGGGAACGCCCTCGGGAGCCTTCTCGGGGGCTTCTTCGGGGGCATGTGCTGGGCGTCCTGGCGGCCGTCCTGTCGGAGAGGGCTCCCGGACCCCCTCTCGGATCTCTCTCGCCCCTCCTGGGGACTTCCTGAGGGCCTCTCGGGCAGTTCTGTTGGGATCCCCTCAGGCCATTGCATGGCCCTCTTGGTGGCCTCTTCGCTCGTGTCAGGACAGTCTTGGTGGCTTCCCGGGCCACCTCGGAATGTCAGAACCCAGAAAAGGCGGGCATGCAACAATCTGTCAAAAACAGATGGGAGATTCATGATTGCGCTTTCTGATGCCGCATCGTGGGTCCTCCTGGGGCCCGGCTCGGGCGTCTTCGGGGCTGTTATGAGGCCGGAATGTTCTGAGGCCTGTGCGGCGCGTTGGAGCCCTTCGCAACCCATCGCAAAGGGTTCCTCAAGCATCTGGCACGCCGCGGAGGACGTCTTCTGAGGCTCCGAGGCCCTCTGCAGGCTCGCTGGGGACACGAAGTGTCGCGCGGACCCTCTGTCTCCCGGCAAGCGGGGGTAGGCGGATTGAGGCTTTTGGCTGGCGAGTCTTTTGAATTATCGTGCTTAGGCCGGCCGCACGACTACGTGTGGTACGTTTTCAAGAGTGGTCCCTCTTTTCTTTTAGGCTCCGGCAAGTTTACCTGCACGGATGGGGGGCGGGCTGAACCTGAAGCAAGCCGCAAACGACGTGCACGTGCAGAAATCACTCAAGGCGCGAGGCACTAAGGCACTTGCACGCTAGCATTCGGTGGAAGAGGGGCGCGGGGGGGGGGGGTGCGAACGCCGTTCACGTAAATTTGCTTGAACCTAAAAAAACACGCTCCTGGGGGCCCATGGTCCTCGGGGCCTGGAGGACTCCGAATCGCCGAACGATCGGTCCGAGATTTCCGAGATGGTTCCAAGACGACCTAGGAAGCTTTCGAGACGCCGCAAGAGACCTCCAAGACCCAGAACCAACTTAAGGTGTTTTCCTCAGGGCGTTTCGTTGGAGGGTTTACCTGGTGATCGACAACTTCCTCTCACCATAATCTCCTCAAAGGGGGGCTGGCGGGAGGCGTCTCCCATGCTCATGGTGGGCGGCAGCTCGGATTTGTTACGACCCCTCCTTCGATCGATCATCGATCATCGAACTGCGCCCCTCGAGCACACGTGGGAAGGGATGATTTGGTATCGCTGTTTACAGGCGTGCGTCCACGAATCCTGCAGCTTGGCATCGCTCGGACGTGTGCATTTTTTCGGCGAGGACCATCGAGGAGCATCCTAGATCATCGAGCAAACAAGAAACACACGAGACCGAAAAAGGCGTGGTGAAGGGACGTCAGAGCGACGGCAAGAAAGGAGTGCGCTTGTAGGCGGAGCGCCGTTCGCGGCAGCGTCTGATGCGGTGGGTCGCTCGCCGAGGGGCGGGGGCCACCCGGGAGTCCTTGGTGCAAGGGCTGCCAGACCAGGCGGAGCGTGCGAGGCCCGTGCCTCCGTTCTGGCGGGGCCGGCCCGTCCGAACAAACCTCCTCGTGCAGCAGCTCGCGAGAAAGGAGGGCACGTGAGCACCAATCTCATCCAGCACTTGAGGACCCCCCACCTTCCGGTGAAACGATGACGCATTTAGCACCTGGAAGCGTTATCCCAGCACCCTTGCATGTGGCCTTTGCTCAGCACCCCTCTGGCCCCCAGCAACCTTCGAAAGTGGCGAGGAGGAGGAAGAGGAGGAGGAGGAGGAGGAGGGAGGGGAGGAGGGGGAGGAGGAGGAGGAGGAGGAGGAGGAGGAGGAGGAGGAGGAGAAGGAGTAGGAGGTAGGAGGGAGGAGGAGGAGGAGGATGAGTGCGACCAGAACTAGTGTCAACTATTTCCACCAGTAAGCTGCGGACGGGAATTAATAATACTCAAGCAGCTTTCTGAGTACGTATTACTACTACTACTACAACTACTACTACTACTACTACTACTACTACTACTACTACTACTACTGTTACTACTGCTAGTACTACGATTATCAATAACAAAAACAATTATATTAACATGTTGTACTACCATTACTACGACAACAACAACAACTACTACATTGCCGTGACAAAAGTATTATGCGGTCTTCATTCAACATGACTCAAGACTGGCGGAGTAAACGGAGTGGGCGGAGTAGAAATTACTCCGCGTGGACACGCATCCCGTCCCGTTTTTCATACAGGAATGGGCGGAGTAATTTCCGATCCTGTTTTGAGATAGCAATGTTATTAATTAGAGGTAGACGAATTACTCCGCGGGATCGCGGACGACGCATGTCAATGTTAGGAATCTTCAGAGGGATAGGAGATTCCACCATATCATAAAACCGCATAATCTTTTGTCACGGCGGTGTACTACTACTACTATTACTACTACTGCTGCTACTACTACTACTACTACTACTACTACTACTACGACTACTACTAGTATTGCTACTGCCACAGCTAGTATTGTTTGTTCTTCTACTACTACTACTACTACTACTACCACTACTACTACTACTACTACTACTACTACTACTACTACTACTACTACTACTACTACCATTACTACCATTACTACTACTACTACTACTACTACTACTACTACTACTACTACGATTACTACTACTACTACTACTACTACTACTACTACTACTACTACGACTACGACTACTACTACTACTACTGCTACTGCTACTACTACGACGACGACTACTACTACGATTACCACTACTACTACCAGTACCTACTACTACTACTACTACTACTACTACTACTACTCGTATTGCTTCTGCCACAGTTACTACTTATTGTTCTACTACTACTACAGCTACTGCTGCTACTACTAGTACGACGACTACTACTACGGTTACCACTACTACTACCACTACCACTACTACGACTTCTAATTCTACTTCTACTACTACTACTACTACTACTACTACTACTACCACTACTACTACTACTACTACCACGACTACTACTACTACTACTACTACTTGTACTACTACTACTACCACCACCACTACTTCTACTAGTCGACTACTTCTACTACCACTACCACTACTAATACTGCTTCGACTATTACTACTACTACAACTACTACTACTACTACTACTAATACTACTACTGCTGCTGCTACTACTACTACTACTACTACTACTAGTACTACTACTACTACTACTACTACTACTACTACTACTACTACTACTATTACTACTAGTACTACTACTACTACTACTACTACTACCACTATGTCTACCACTACTACTACTGCGACTACTACTTTCACGACGACGACTACCACTACGACTACTACTACTACTACTACTACTACTACTACTACTTTTCCCACGACTACTCCTACTACTACTACTACTACTACTCTACTACTACTACTACTACTACTACTACTACTACTACTACTATTACTACTACTACGACTACTACTACTACTACTACTACTACTACTACTACTACTACTACTACTACTACTACTACTACTACTACTACTACTACTACTACTACTACTACTACTACTACGACGACGACGACGACGACGACGACGACGACGACGACGACTACTGCTACTACTACTACTACTACGGGTGCTCGTAGTAGTAGTAGTAGTAGTAGTAGTCGTACTACTACTACTACTACTACTACTACTACTACTACTACTACTACTACTACTACTACTACTACTACTACTACTACTAGGGTCACCCTTCTTTATGGCCGGAAGCGTCCCGCCCATCTATGGCCAGTAAGTGTGTAAGGCCAGCTAGACGGGTATATGGAAACCGAATATAAACTACGAGTAAGTCACACTTTGTTTGAGGATGTATTCGCATGTGCCAAAAGATGTTCAAGGACTCCCAAGGAATCCAAGGGAAGCCCTAAAGAATCCGGAGCGCCTCTGAGGAATCCACAAGACTCCCAAATCCTGAACATTTCTTGAAGACTTCTGGGGGCTTCCGAGGGGCCTTTGAAAATTTGTGATGGCCTCCGATCGGCTTGTAAACGGTTCCAAGCGGCTTATGCACGCTGCCGCCGAGAAGCTTCTGCGAGCTACCGAGAGGCCTTGAAAATTCCTGGAGAGGGTTTCTTAAAGCTCCCGGAAGGCTGTTGAGACACCCCGGCAAGCGTCTGAGAGTTCCCCAGAGGTCTCTGCAAATTACCGAGGGGCCCAGAGAGCTGTCGAGAGGACCTGAGAGCTCTCTTAGGGGCTTCGAGGACTCCGAGGAGCGCCGCGAGGAACGGCCTGGGCGGCGCCCGCAATATGACCCCAAAAAACACACAACGCACACAACACACACACACACACACAACGCGCACAACACACACACACACACAACGCGCACAACACACAACACACACAACACACAACACACAACACACAACACACCACACAACACAACACACAACACACGCAATACAGACAACACACAGCACGCAACACACCCAACAACACGCACCACACACAACACACAAACACACGACACACCATTCACCACACACACACACATCACACAACGCCACACACAGGACACACGACGCACACACAACGCACACACCACACAACACTCACAACACACAAACACACAATGCGCACAACACACGACGCATATAACACTTGCACGCACGCAACACACAGCACACAACACACACACACACCACACACAACATACAACCCCAACACACACACAACACACAGCACACGCAACATACGCACACACGGCACACAACGCAAACAACACACGCAACACACACAACACAAACACACACACACACACTTCACACAACATACAGCACATACAGAACACACCACACACAACACACTGTACTTCACACAACGCACAACACAACGCGCCAGACTCAACACCACGCACAACGCACCAAGGGCCAGCAGGGCTTCGCCCTGTTTAGCAGAGCCTGGCAGCGTTTAGCGGGGCGAAGCATGGCCTACCAGAGCTTGCAGGGCCTAGCAGAGCCCAGCAAGGCGCTGCAGGGCTTCGCAGAGCCCAGCAGGGCGTAGCAGGGCGTAGGAGGGTTTGCCAAGGCTTACCAGCGCTTACAGCAGGGCTTCCAGATCTCAGCATGTGTCAGCAGGGCTTAACAGACTGTAGCAGAGCCTCGCAGGGTTTCGCAGGGCTCCGCAAGGCTCAGCAGAGCTCAGCAGTAGTTCCCCCGCAGTTATGGCCGCTACTCTTGCTGGGCCCTCAATATCAATTTAGGAAGACCTCAGTCGGGATTGGTGTATTTCACACTTTGCCTACGGCCGGTTCTGTGGTTTCCTATTGGGTTCCCATAAGTTTTCGAGGAATTCATTGAATTCTTATTGGATGTCGCGAGGAAGGCATCTTATTGGATTACAATTGAATTCTTATTGGAATTCATTGACTTCTTCATGGGTTTGTAATGAATTCCTAGGAGGTGTTTCTGTTAAAGTCCCGATTGAATTGCAATAAGAAGGCTTCCTGTTGAAGCCAAACCCAAATCCAATCCCACTACTACTACTACTGCTACTGCAACACCTACTACTACTGCTACTGCAACAACTACTACTACGACTACGACCACGCACTACTACTGCTACTACTACTACGACTACTACTACTACTACTACTACTACTACTACTACTACTACTACTACTACTACTACTACTACTACCACGACTACTACCACTAGTACGGCTACTACTAAGACTATTTCTCACATTCTCTTCATTGACGACTACTTTCGCTACTATTCGTACATTTACATATACGCCTACGTGTGCTACTTCCACTGCTATTACATTCTTGTGGCTACTACGAATATTACCACTACTACGACGGCTGCTGTTAGCTTATTACAATTATCATGATCATTGGCATTATGTTCACTACTTCTCGTATTTCAGCTACGACTACAACGACCACTACTACGACTACTGCTACCACTACGACTACTGCTGCTCCTACTACTACAACGACTACGACTACGACTACTACGACTACTATTGCTGCTACTTTTATTTCTACAACTACTACTACTACTACTACTACTACTACTAATAATACTAGCATTACTACTACTGCTACTACTGCTACTGCTACTACTACTACTACTACTACTACTACTACTACTACTACTACTACTACTACTACTACTCGTACTACTACTACTACTACTACTACTACTATTACTACTACTACTACTATTACTACTACAACTACTACTACTACTACTACTACTACTA